GTTGGAAATGTGATGTTGCAGTTGTATATCCCATATGTTTTTGATATTGTATATGTTGTGAGTAAGTAATATGCTATTAGGTGTAGTAATAGGCAGTTTAGCTTTATGTTTAGCTGTGGTTAGATATTGTGCTAGGATTGAGTTACATGTAGTTCGAGAAAGTACAATGTTGTGTATACGATACTCTAGAGTAGAGATAATAACATTATTAATAATATAGGCAGCTTGTTTGTCAGTTATATTTTTAGTCTTAAGTATGTTATTAAGACCAAATGCTTTCTGTTTAATAAGTTTAATTTGTGTAGCATATTTAAGTATAGCTGTAAACCAGCATTCCAGAAATTTGAATGGTGTATGTTGAGGTTGTGTTTGGATAGAGTCATTCATAAAGCTAATATTTGGAGTTTGGTTAGTGTTGGATACTAGAACTGATATTTGTGGGTTTACTTTGATATTTGCCATTTTGTAAAATAAGAATGCTATTTGTGTAATTTGTTGTAATTGTTCAAGTGATTTGGCAAGCCACAGGGTATTGTCCATGTATGCTAATACTGATGTAGAGATAGATGTATTTTGATATTTGATAGGATTAAGTTGGGTAATCCATTTAACTGTAGATATATATCTGGTATATGTTTTATTGATGTTAGTGATAAGAGGGTCATAGTAAATATGCCAAAGGAGAGGTGTTATTGTCTCTCCTTGATCAATTCTGTCTTGTACGTTATATAGAAGTGTTAGTCCGTAGTTAGTGATGACTTGGTTAGTACGGTTTTGTAGCAGGTTGATAATAATTTGTATGAGTTGAGTTGGCATATTTAGATGTTGTAGAGCTTTGTTAAGAAGATATATATTAACTGATTCATAGGCCTTAATCATATCTTGTGATAGAATCCAGGCCTGTTTTTTTATACACTTAGCATCTTCCAGAAAATTATTAAGTATATGAATTGGATTGTTGGTAGAGTTGCCAGGGAGTGCAACATAGTTGTGGGAGTTAAAAATGGAGTATGTAATAAAAACTTTAGTTAGTTAGTTAGTGAGGATTTTAGTATAGAGTTTTTTGATATGTTTAATAAGACTAATAGGACGGGTGTTGTTAAGGTTGCCATCAAACTGAGGCTTTTTGATATAGGATAAATCCTGCTATTTTTCTATTGCTTAGGTATATTGTGTGTAGTAAGACATTGGTTAAGTAGAGCAGTAATTGAAAGTAGCATACTGGGGCCTGTATGTTTAATCATTTCATAACTGATTCCAGATGGTCCACAAGCCTTGTTATTTGGTAATTGTTGTATGGTTTGTAGTATCTCCTCAGTACTAATCTCTTCAAGTATAGGATTATACTAGGATGGTTCAATAGAGAGGATAGGTTCATATTCTGTTTGTCAGTATTGGTTGAATATTGTATTATTATAAGGTTGGTGTGCTGTTTATTCATTAAAATGATTTGTGATATGTTGTTTACACTGGTCGAAATCAAAAATAACATCTTTATATCTTCAAATAATCAGCCTAGATGATAGCAGGCCGATAGGACAATGGCTTATAACAGATTTGATAGTAAAAAAAACAAGCCAATAGCCTGAAGATTTTAGGAAAATATGTTGCATATCGGTTAAATTTATCAACAAATTATTTAAATATCATTATGATAATTAGTATATCATTTAAAAGATATATGGAAGATTTTATTAAGATTTTTTAACAATATTTTAGTGATTAGATTAATCGTTAGCCGATATTTTACAGATTATTTAATAAATAATTTTTGTCTAAATTATACGATATTATAATGATATAATAAATATGTTTTGAATGATATCTAATAATATTTATTAAATTAAAATATTGGTATAAAAGAATGTTGTTGATATTTTAGATTTATTAATCGTTATTAAAAGTGATTGAGCCCGATATTTTAAAGAACATTTTAATTATTGGTTGATATAGTAATGGCTATTTGTAAATTTTTAAATAATATTTTGCTAATATTGTAATTTATTGGAATGTCTTATTCGTAATCAGATGATCGGCTTTAATTTTTAGGCTGATATACTTATGATTACTTGGGTGATAGTTTATGATTACCTGGTTGATAGACTTATAATTATTTACTTTCTTTTAGTATATTTCAAATGATTTTTTTATGATTTTACTAATTACTTAATAATCGGTTAATTTTTTTTTTAAAAAAATATATAGCTGATATTTTTGATTTCTAATTAATTTACAAATATCATCTTTCCGATAATATAAAAATTTTATATGATATATTACTGTCTAATATTTCATTAGATGATATTTATGTTATATGTACCGATTTTATCTTTATTAAATTTAATTATTTCAAATAAATTCTATTTTGAAAAATAAAAATTAAATGATAATTTATAATTAACATTCATTATTACTTTCGCGATCTTTTCTTGGTTTTTTTACTTTCACACTCCTTCCTCTCCTTTTACTTTTTTTACCCCGCCCGCTTTTTTTATCTGCACACTCACTCTTATCCTCATCTCCACCTTTACTCTCACTATCGCTTCCCTCACCATCATCATCACTGCCAACACTTTCACTTGGTATATCAGCCTCTTCGTCAGATATTGTTATAATATTTATAGGGAGGCCTTTTGTACCTTTTGAAGGTGATTTTGCATCTTTTAAAGATGATTTTGCACCTGTTTTTGTTGATGTTGCTGCTGTTTTAGTTTGTGTTGTTGTTGCTGCTGTCATTGTTGCTGCTGCTATCATTGCTGCTGCTGTTGTTGTTGCTGTTGATGTTGCTGTTGGTGTTGCTGTTGGTGTTGCTGCTGCTGTTGTTGTTGCTGCTATTGTTGTTGCTTCTGTTGTTGTTGTAGTTGATATTGTTGTGGTTTGTGCGGATGATGTTGTTACTGTAGTAACATTAAACCATGTAGCAGTGAGATCTCTAATGTTAGGTCGTGGTGAAGTATTACCATCCTTCTTTCTTTTTTTGTATAATATAATTCTATCATCATCGCCTCTTTCTTTCTTGCTATCGTCTTCTCTTTCTTTTCTGTTATCGTCATCTCTTTCTTTCCCTTCATCGTCATCTCTTTCTTTCCTTTTACTTCCCTTACTACTTTTTTTTGCATCCGCACTACCACTTTTTTTCGCTTTTTTTTCTTATATAGATCTTCATCTCCAGTGTAAAAGTTAGTGTCAAATTCTGAATCTGAAATGTTAAATAGGTTTAAAGCATCTTCTGATAATGCCCATCTTGGGCAATCAGGTGGTGGCATTTCTGTCATATCAACCTCCTCTTCATAATGCCGTTTATGCATTCTATTGTTCTTTGGCTGCAGTTGTTCTACAAATAGATTAATACGCTTATAGAATAGCTATTTTAACTAAATAAGTAAGACGATACTTACATTAGGGCCTTGCCACCATTTGTCAATACAAACTAACTTTTTAACCTTCTCACCATTCTTTGACTGATCCTCATCCATCTTCTACTCTTCATCAGAATGATAGGCATTCACTCCTTTGCTTTTTGTTAATATCTCCAAGTCTTTCCAAGAATATCTTCTAATGCTTTTATTTCCTGCCTTTATTAAATATGTTAATGCTTTTCATCTTCTTTTCCTCTTCTATAATACAGTAATTTAAATTATTATATTTCATTTACAAATCATTTACCTGATAAATTGGTAAGTAATTACCAATATATTAAGTAAATGATTTGTAGGCTAAGAACAAATCATTTACCTAATATATCTGTAAGTGATTACTGATATATTGGGTAAATGATTTGTTAGTCAAGTACCTCTAGAATTGATTTAAAAAATAATTTACATGACAAATTTTATTATGCTTACCTTATTCACTTTACTATTTTTCCCCATTTTGGTGCGATTGTAGGCCTTTAATTTTGGATCAGCATTTATTGTTGCTGTTCGTCGTTGCATCTTATGATGTTGTTTTAGAATTTTTTCAATCACACCAGAATGGTGCCAATATTCTGGTAATTTTTTTGCAATAGCCAGAATCAGCTTTTGCCTCACGTTTTGTGATTGGCTAGCCTATTGTTTAGTCGGATCAGGCTTTAGGTCAGATAGCTTATCACCTTCTATTAATACTTTAATTTCATCCTTAGTAATAATAATTATAATAATATTCATAATAAAAGTAAATTAATTATAATAACAATAATAAAAGTAAATAAATAAATATAATAATATTAATAATAAAAGTAAATTAATTAAAAAAACAGATAAATACACAAAGTGAGACAAATAATATTTACTCTTAAGTGAGACCTCTGCTCATCTGTTAGTACTTTCAGTACATCTTCACTTGAACTGCTGCTACTGCTACTAGACCTGCTATTGCTTTAACTTGTGCTCCTACTAACTGACCTATCACTACCTCTACTACCTGATCTACCTTTTTTCCTACTAATGGATCTACCTCTTTTCCTTTTAACCGACTTATCTTCCACCTCACTTTCATCTTCACTACTAGTAGCTCCTAAGCTACTAGAGCTTAAGGACAATGATGATCTTGCTCTTTCTTTCCCCTTACTAAATACTGCCGCGACTGCTTGAGCAACTGCTTGCACAATGTAACTCGCATCTACTAAATAATAGATTAATGATATATTAAAATTACTGCCTTTTATAAACCTTACATTTTCATTTCTTATGTTTACATGACTTCTTCTTAGACTTTTTAGCACCTATTTTACTGCTCTCTGGTTTTGGCAAATGCTTTTCTTTACCTATGTTTTGATAAAATTTTTTGACAAAAAATTAAAGAATATGACCCCTTATAAATAAATCTTATCCTCATCATCCAATCTTCCAAGTGTAGGTATTATTTTTTAATGTAATCAGGAATTAATTAAAAAATTGCCAAAATGCATAACTACCAAATTCAGTAATTGTTAAAAGTATATTATATTGAATGTAATCAGTTATTAATTAATGATATTATAGCGATATTAATGTAATTTTTTTATTTCTTAATAATGAATGAGTACAACATTCGAAGGAATATCTTCTATGCAAAAGGTAATTAATTTAATGTAATCATTTATTTAATAAAATAATTTTTTAATTTAATTAATGGATATTAGGATGATGAGGATAAGATTTATTTATAAGGGGTCATATTCTTTAATTTTTTGTCAAAAAATTTTATCAAAACATAGGTAAAGAAAAGCATTTGCCAAAACCAGAGAGCAGTAAAATAGGTGCTAAAAAGTCTAAGAAGAAGTCATGTAAACATAAGAAATGAAAATGTAAGGTTTATAAAAGGCAGTAATTTTAATATATCATTAATCTATTATTTAGTAGATGCGAGTTACATTGTGCAAGCAGTTGCTCAAGCAGTCGCGGCAGTATTTAGTAAGGGGAAAGAAAGAGCAAGATCATCATTGTCCTTAAGCTCTAGTAGCTTAGGAGCTACTAGTAGTGAAGATGAAAGTGAGGTGGAAGATAAGTCGGTTAAAAGGAAAAGAGGTAGATCCATTAGTAGGAAAAAAGGTAGATCAGGTAGTAGAGGTAGTGATAGGTCAGTTAGTAGGAGCACAAGTTAAAGCAATAGCAGGTCTAGTAGCAGTAGCAGCAGTTCAAGTGAAGATGTACTGAAAGTACTAACAGATGAGCAGAGGTCTCACTTAAGAGTAAATATTATTTGTCTCACTTTGTGTATTTATCTGTTTTTTTAATTAATTTACTTTTATTATTAATATTATTATATTTATTTATTTACTTTTATTATTGTTATTATAATTAATTTACTTTTATTATGAATATTATTATAATTATTATTACTAAGGATGAAATTAAAGTATTAATAGAAGGTGATAAGCTATCTGACCTAAAGCCTGATCCGACTAAACAATAGGCTAGCCAATCACAAAACGTGAGGCAAAAGCTGATTCTGGCTATTGCAAAAAAATTACCAGAATATTGGCACCATTCTGGTGTGATTGAAAAAATTCTAAAACAACATCATAAGATGCAACGACGAACAGCAACAATAAATGCTGATCCAAAATTAAAGGCCTACAATCGCACCAAAATGGGGAAAAATAGTAAAGTGAATAAGGTAAGCATAATAAAATTTGTCATGTAAATTATTTTTTAAATCAATTCTAGAGGTACTTGACTAACAAATCATTTACCCAATATATCAGTAATCACTTACAGATATATTAGGTAAATGATTTGTTCTTAGCCTACAAATCATTTACTTAATATATTGGTAATTACTTACCAATTTATCAGGTAAATGATTTGTAAATGAAATATAATAATTTAAATTACTGTATTATAGAAGAGGAAAAGAAGATGAAAAGCATTAACATATTTAATAAAGGCAGGAAATAAAAGCATTAGAAGATATTCTTGGAAAGACTTGGAGATATTAACAAAAAGCAAAGGAGTGAATGCCTATCATTCTGATGAAGAGTAGAAGATGGATGAGGATCAGTCAAAGAATGGTGAGAAGGTTAAAAAGTTAGTTTGTATTGACAAATGGTGGCAAGGCCCTAATGTAAGTATCGTCTTACTTATTTAGTTAAAATAGCTATTCTATAAGCGTATTAATCTATTTGTAGAACAACTGCAGCCAAAGAACAATAGAATGCATAAACGGCATTATGAAGAGGAGGTTGATATGACAGAAATGCCACCACCTGATTGCCCAAGATGGGCATTATCAGAAGATGCTTTAAACCTATTTAACATTTCAGATTCAGAATTTGACACTAACTTTTACACTGGAGATGAAGATCTATATAAGAAAAAAAAGCGAAAAAAAGTGGTAGTGCGGATGCAAAAAAAAGTAGTAAGGGAAGTAAAAGGAAAGAAAGAGATGACGATGAAGGGAAAGAAAGAGATGACGATAACAGAAAAGAAAGAGAAGACGATAGCAAGAAAGAAAGAGGCGATGATGATAGAATTATATTATACAAAAAAAGAAAGAAGGATGGTAATACTTCACCACGACCTAACATTAGAGATCTCACTGCTACATGGTTTAATGTTACTACAGTAACAACATCATCCGCACAAACCACAACAATATCAACTACAACAACAACAGAAGCAACAACAATAGCAGCAACAACAACAGCAGCAGCAACACCAACAGCAACACCAACAGCAACATCAACAGCAACAACAACAGCAGCAGCAATGATAGCAGCAGCAACAATGACAGCAGCAACAACAACACAAACTAAAACAGCAGCAACATCAACAAAAACAGGTGCAAAATCATCTTTAAAAGATGCAAAATCACCTTCAAAAGGTACAAAAGGCCTCCCTATAAATATTATAACAATATCTGACGAAGAGGCTGATATACCAAGTGAAAGTGTTGGCAGTGATGATGATGGTGAGGGAAGCGATAGTGAGAGTAAAGGTGGAGATGAGGATAAGAGTGAGTGTGCAGATAAAAAAAGCGGGCGGGGTAAAAAAAGTAAAAGGAGAGGAAGGAGTGTGAAAGTAAAAAAACCAAGAAAAGATCGCGAAAGTAATAATGAATGTTAATTATAAATTATCATTTAATTTTTATTTTTCAAAATAGAATTTATTTGAAATAATTAAATTTAATAAAGATAAAATCGGTACATATAACATAAATATCATCTAATGAAATATTAGACAGTAATATATCATATAAAATTTTTATATTATCGGAAAGATGATATTTGTAAATTAATTAGAAATCAAAAATATCAGCTATATATTTTTTTAAAAAAAAAATTAACCGATTATTAAGTAATTAGTAAAATCATAAAAAAATCATTTGAAATATACTAAAAGAAAGTAAATAATTATAAGTCTATCAACCAGGTAATCATAAACTATCACCCAAGTAATCATAAGTATATCAGCCTAAAAATTAAAGCCGATCATCTGATTACGAATAAGACATTCCAATAAATTACAATATTAGCAAAATATTATTTAAAAATTTACAAATAGCCATTACTATATCAACCAATAATTAAAATGTTCTTTAAAATATCGGGCTCAATCACTTTTAATAACGATTAATAAATCTAAAATATCAACAACATTCTTTTATACCAATATTTTAATTTAATAAATATTATTAGATATCATTCAAAACATATTTATTATATCATTATAATATCGTATAATTTAGACAAAAATTATTTATTAAATAATCTGTAAAATATCGGCTAACGATTAATCTAATCACTAAAATATTGTTAAAAAATCTTAATAAAATCTTCCATATATCTTTTAAATGATATACTAATTATCATAATGATATTTAAATAATTTGTTGATAAATTTAACCGATATGCAACATATTTTCCTAAAATCTTCAGGCTATTGGCTTGTTTTTTTTACTATCAAATCTGTTATAAGCCATTGTCCTATCGGCCTGCTATCATCTAGGCTGATTATTTGAAGATATAAAGATGTTATTTTTGATTTCGACCAGTGTAAACAACATATCACAAATCATTTTAATGAATAAACAGCACACCAACCTTATAATAATACAATATTCAACCAATACTGACAAACAGAATATGAACCTATCCTCTCTATTGAACCATCCTAGTATAATCCTATACTTGAAGAGATTAGTACTGAGGAGATACTACAAACCATACAACAATTACCAAATAACAAGGCTTGTGGACCATCTGGAATCAGTTATGAAATGATTAAACATACAGGCCCCAGTATGCTACTTTCAATTACTGCTCTACTTAACCAATGTCTTACTACACACAATATACCTAAGCAATAGAAAAATAGCAGGATTTATCCTATATCAAAAAGCCTCAGTTTGATGGCAACCTTAACAACACCCGTCCTATTAGTCTTATTAAACATATCAAAAAACTCTATACTAAAATCCTCACTAACTAACTAACTAAAGTTTTTATTACATACTCCATTTTTAACTCCCACAACTATGTTGCACTCCCTGGCAACTCTACCAACAATCCAATTCATATACTTAATAATTTTCTGGAAGATGCTAAGTGTATAAAAAAACAGGCCTGGATTCTATCACAAGATATGATTAAGGCCTATGAATCAGTTAATATATATCTTCTTAACAAAGCTCTACAACATCTAAATATGCCAACTCAACTCATACAAATTATTATCAACCTGCTACAAAACCGTACTAACCAAGTCATCACTAACTACGGACTAACACTTCTATATAACGTACAAGACAGAATTGATCAAGGAGAGACAATAACACCTCTCCTTTGGCATATTTACTATGACCCTCTTATCACTAACATCAATAAAACATATACCAGATATATATCTACAGTTAAATGGATTACCCAACTTAATCCTATCAAATATCAAAATACATCTATCTCTACATCAGTATTAGCATACATGGACAATACCCTGTGGCTTGCCAAATCACTTGAACAATTACAACAAATTACACAAATAGCATTCTTATTTTACAAAATGGCAAATATCAAAGTAAACCCACAAATATCAGTTCTAGTATCCAACACTAACCAAACTCCAAATATTAGCTTTATGAATGACTCTATCCAAACACAACCTCAACATACACCATTCAAATTTCTGGAATGCTGGTTTACAGCTATACTTAAATATGCTACACAAATTAAACTTATTAAACAGAAAGCATTTGGTCTTAATAACATACTTAAGACTAAAAATATAACTGACAAACAAGCTGCCTATATTATTAATAATGTTATTATCTCTACTCTAGAGTATCGTATACACAACATTGTACTTTCTCGAACTACATGTAACTCAATCCTAGCACAATATCTAACCACAGCTAAACATAAAGCTAAACTGCCTATTACTACACCTAATAGCATATTACTTACTCACAACATATACAATATCAAAAACATATGGGATATACAACTGCAACATCACATTTCCAACTTCCTACTACGTTTAAATGACCAAGGCCTTATGGGCTCCAGCACCTACATATGACTCCAACAATTACAAAACAATCTTTGGTCCACAACCAACATTCTTCAACACCCTCATCCACTAATTGATGGACCCAACAAAAACACAACTACTTTTATAATTATACAACTACTTAGCTCACTTCAACTGGCTATCAATACTTACACAAATTACCTTCAACCATACACACTTCATATCCTTACACACCTATTGAAAAATATCTTAATATACACAAATTATATTTACAATTCAAAAAACAACTACAATTAAAGAACATCATCTATTTAGAACAGCTCACATCATCTAACAACTTAAATCTGCTAGCATGGAACCACATTTCACCACAAATACAACAAATTCCAAAAGGATGCAAACCTCTATGGTTTACAGTCCTTAAGGGCAAAATAATTACTAATCAACTCACCAGACAGATCAATTCACACCTTGACTTACCAAACATTAACTTGATATCATTTCAAACTGGACACTATAAGAAATCTAAGCCCTGGCTAATTACATATAATGATAATCAACATATTATTATTGGAAAGGCTAGGAAATATAACTCTACTAGTGACCAAATATCAATTACACCTGAGATATTACATTTGACCACTCGCCTACTAACCTCTACCCTGCACCAATATATACTTGTAAGCCATGTACTGGATGTCTTCTAAATTCCAATCAGATCTGAAACAAATGCACAATCAACATTCAAGCTAACTCATCAACAAAATTCTTAGGAAAAAAGAAATATGCAGAAACTGGTACTATACTCAACCTTAATGCTAATCTACTCGACTTGCTATACTCTCTAGCACTATATAACCCTATAAACATACCTTCACAACCTACAATCAACATCCAAGACAATGCAATACCTGAAATTTTTATTGATAACCAACTTTCACAGACATTAATACAAATTGCAAAAAACAACTCAACTTATTCTCAATTAACATTTTATACAGATGGTTCTGTTAGAGATATTACTACAGAATGATACAACATGGAGGTTGGATGAGTCCAAACCTAAGATGACACCATTATCTATACTTATTTAGCAGAAATTAAACTTTAGCCATCATCTTACAAAGCTGAACTTGTTGCAATACTCTCTATTATCAGCACTTGCCCAAGAAATAGTTCTATTGTCATCTACACAGATTCACAATCTATTATATCAAATATAAAAAGCTCATTCAATTACCACCTACACCAAACAAAAGATACTTCTATGAGTGTTTGGGCCCTATAGCTTATTGGTTAAGCTCTCAAACCCCCACAGACAAGGTCAAAATTCAAGTCGGGCTGGTGGCAAATTTTTGAATTTGCTACTGTAACCTATATGGGGCAATAATTGAATGCGAAGCCCTGTGGAAAGTCCAAGTGCAAGTACGGTTCTGGAACAGGAATTCCTGGAAGGAGATCCAATCATAGAGTGCAAGCACTATGTATAACAGTGGCATTACAGAAGGTTTAGTAGAATGATTGCGCATGTAAGTCCTCGTAGGCAC